TTTTGGCAAGATCACCTATACACTGGCCACTAATTCATCTCCGCCAGGATCCACTGAAACACACGGGATCCTTGAAACAGCCTCCAAATACTGYCATTTCATTTTCTGTTAAGAAAACAAAGAGATTATATCTGCTGGCAAATAGCCTACTTATCCTCACCAAAATAAATGATACCTTGCTGTGACCTCTGCAAAATCGTGGTTATAAAAGTATCAAAATGTATTTATTGCATTAAGGGTCCCAAAGATATTAGGTCCCTATATTCTGTGTGAGTGGAAAACTAGGATGTGTGTTAGAGGGATTTCAAAGTGGGAAAGGATGATGTGGTTTGGGTTTAGGGATTTCAAGCAGTATTTAATTTAATTCTGTGTTCATTGGGTTTTGGTGCTCTTCATGCAGATAATATAGACAAAATRTGCAAAATTGGGTAAGAAATCTGCAGCACTGTGACACCAAGCTGCTGCCAAGCTGGTTGAGGATGGACACCCCTGGTCCCACCACCAGTGTGGGCTGTGGGATGTGCTGGGGCTCCACCTGAGCCAATGATGTCCCACCACTCTCCTGCCAGGGAAGAGAGGAAACTGATTGCAGTTTTGGCTGAAAAATGTCAGTACCTGTGCCCCCGTCAGTAGCAGCCTGGGAAATTGCTTCCTGCTCTTTGGCACCCAAAACTTCATCCTCCTCATCCCGCTGTAAATTGCTGGGAAACTGTGCCATGGATGATCCAACAGCTGCTGAATTTCACCTCAGTGGTAAGTGAAGKGATTCTGCCTATCAAGATTTTAAAGAAATTTGGGGCATGGTGAGATGAAGGACATTATTGATGTGAAAAGACAAGTATTATATTTACTTCAGAACCCTTCATCCACACCTGGAAGCAGTACTTAAAAACAGAGCATGTATTGCAGGATGATGTGGAAACRTGACCTGGTGAGAGGTAAAATTTTCTTGATGATTTGAGGGAGATGAAGGCTTCATCCTGCACTATTTAGGAGCTGCTGAGGTGTAATGGCTACGTCCAGATAATTGGATGCATTGCTACAGGCAYTTGAGAAATGTGATGGACAGATGCATTCAGCTAGAGAGATATCCCTCGGTGCAGAGAGCTGCAGTCAATTAGGGAGTTAAATTGTGAAAGGTTTGACCTGGTGTCATTTACTTCTCGAGTCATAATWAACACTTAAAGTTCAACTCTATAGCAATTTTCTTTTAATAACACTTAAAACCTATATAGAGCTGAAAGAATTGCATAGACACRATGAAGGATGACTTGAGTGGATGCCTGAATTTCAGCGTTAGTAATTAATCCTCAAAACCTTTGTGAGGCCTATGGGGAGCATCATTTCTTTCCAGTTTCTCCTTTGAAGAGAAGCAGGTTTTACCCAATGGCYCCCCAAAGTCTCTGGCACCTGGAGATAAGGACAGAAGCTCTTTCAGGTGTTAAACCAGYGAATGCTCAGCTCAGCCCAGCTCCCATCTTTTTGTCTTGCTGAATTTTTTTTTAATTTTACCACAATCTTTAGAAATATCGTGGACAAATTTCTTGTCAAATGGCCTGGGTTTTCCAATTAAAATYGGTGCAAATGCAGAACCTAAAAATCTGTCACAAACACAGCTTCTGCCTCAAAGGTTTTCACACGGATGAAATATGAATCTCGCTGGGGGAAGAAACATTCTCTCAGAGTGAGACCTTGTAAGATGGGATCGAGCTCGCTGCAGATTTTTATGGTCAAGTTGTAACTGCCTGTAAAGCAGGGGTAAAATGGAAGTGCTGACAAAACTTTTAAACTACAACAGTGGAAATGGCGCCGCAATAATTTATAATCTACAGGCAGCTTTGGATTTATTATCACAATGACAAATGCACTGTCATTGTTAATAGGATATTTCCCAGCAAGGACTTCTTGTTATGCAAGCCAGGTTCACTATGTCATGCAGCATGATAGCAATAAAGTCTACAAGAATTTGTAATGAACTTCAATTACTAATAGATTATGGTTAATGGGAAATATGTGCAGTAAAGATATGGGTTTTTATATGCGCCTTCTGGTACTCTACAAGGCAATGATTTATGCTACAATTTCTGTTAACATTCTCCAGCATGCAAAAAAAAAAAAAAAAAAAAAAAAAAAAAAAAGCCTAAATTGTTGGAAAGCCACTCCATCCATAACAAATATTTAAGATAATTTTGCACATCATGTAAATGAAGATGTAAAATTAGATATTAATCCATTTCATTTTAGCATTTGTATTTTTATTAAAAATGAAGACTTTGCCCTACTGTGTAATGACATTAAAAATCCTATCATGGGCTGCAAGCATGAATTACCCCAATGCAGGAACGRTGACAGCAGCTGAGCTGTGAGTGCATTTGTTCAATTTGCTGTAGTAATTAACGGAGCAGCGAGAATATTTTCCTACATGTGATTTAAAGTAACAGCCCTGAAGCTGCTCAGGCAGATGTGCTGCATGTGGAGGGATATTTGCATGGGTTCTTTGGAGGGGCTCAGCCTTTTCCTCCCCCACTGTGGCTCCCCCCAGCCTTTGAGGCATCGCTCCAAAGCCTTGCCTCGCTCATGGACATCAGGATATTCCTGTCCCTGCACAGCAAACCTCCCACGGGAATCACTTTGGGAAATAATCACCTGACACAGCATCAGAGCCACCAGCTCGTGCTTACTTATCACAGAGACACAGGCCCAGGTGTTTGCTTGTTGTTTCAAAAGAGGATCCCTCCTCTTCCTCTTCCTCCTCCTCCTCCCTCCTTTCAGCTTTTTTCTCCTGTTCCTGAATTAGAATCTGTGTATTCCAGGTTTATGTGCTCATGACATGAAAAGAAAAAAGAATATCACCCAATTTAAAAACAAGCGCTGCTCAGAGCCGTCTTTGAGAAAAAAACATATGATGCAATATTAAGGATTGCATTGAACCACAGTCACATTTCACATCCAAAACACATATTTAGCCAGAAAGGGGCACCCATGCATGAAGAGAATTTCTGGTGTATTTTTAATGCAGGTATCCTGAAGCCCAGCTTRGTTCAATCAGTGTTATGCTGGTTTAATACTGCTGCTGTCAGTGATCCTCTGTATAAAATCTACAAGTTAATTTTTAGGGGTGCATGCCAGGAACATACAGAATTGGGGTTTGACCTTTTGACAAGGCTTTCAGTGACAGTTCGAGAGGAATGGCTTCACAGAAGGCAGGTTTAGAGTAGAGATTARGAAGGAATTCCTAAGGGTGATGAGRYCCTGGCACASACTGCTGTGCAAATCCCAGTCCATGGACAAACTGTRCTCCCCAACCACACTGTGGAATCACAGTATCTCAGTGGACAATTAAGGGTGATTCTCGCATGAAAATATGGTTCTCCACTCTATTAGGAAGTTGTTTGAGAGATTTACAAAATGTCCTTCAGTTTTTATGGTAAAAYGAGCATAAAATTGTGCTTCCCCACACTCATTTTCTACTAAATAATACCTAAAGTACTTGCTTCTTGAAAATGTGTGTTACAAATTTAAAATTAAAACTAGTTTATCCCTTAAGGGTGCTCTGCTGATTTGTTTTCCCCCAGCCYCTCAACAGAATCTGTTGCAAGATACAGAATGGAGTTTACTGTACTTTTTCCCCCCCAGTTTTTAATGAAATCCTCATCAGAAAGAAAACAGGGGAAGCTCTCTTGTGCATTCACACTGAATATCTTTTGTGTGTGTGTGGTCAAATCCTCTTCTCTTCTCTCCAGATCAGCTCTGTTGCTTCTCATCTTTCCTGCTCTCTCCCACATTTTCAGAMCAAGCATCATCCAAAACCCCTAAAAGCATTTTTTTTTTTCATTTTGTTGGGGTTTTTTAAAGTCTGATAAACAATAAAACAGCAGGATCTGCAAGTGCATCTTACTGCTGGGTTTTGTTGCCAGATTAGTGGGTTTTTTTTATTTTTTGTTCCGGCATTTCTGTGGCTCTCTGAGATATCTCACCCCTGACAGGGTTGATGTGGCAATATTCAGCRGTCACCTGCTTTGCAAGCACCATTTAGGAAAGGTCACTGACAGCCCAAAAGAGCCAYGAAAATAAATGTAACTTTAATTTGTTTCCCATTAGAAATGTGTGCAGCAATCTGTCCTAATGAGAGATTTTTTTTCTTCCCTTCTCTGGCATGTGACCACAGCAGCTCACAGAGATACTGAGGTCTTCTAACACAGGAGTCTGTGCACAGAACTGTGTAAAGTGGTTCTGTTCAGCAGAGGATTGTCATGGAAACATTCTAAAATACACCAGAATTAATATTTGAGCACCAGGAGAAGTTTGTGTTTCAAATTACTTGCCCTCAAATGAATGTAAACAGCTATTACACCCAATATGATCTCTTGAAATCACTTCAAATCATTAATGATCTATATTGTATCAGAAAATGTGTGTGCAAAAATAAAACATAATTCCTTGCAGCTAAAGTATTACCTAAAGTAAACCATTTCAACACTGAATCAAATTATTTCAATGGCAGAAACCACACCTGTCTCAGGGGATAAATTGAGTATTCAAGCTATTAAATCCATTCAAGCGRCTCTATTGTATCCCACTATGTATTGTGCCTTGTAGAGAGAAAACAGTTCTGCAAACTATAAAACCATTCAGCAAAACAAATGCATCAACCACAACAGCCTCACGTGCAGAAGGGACTGAGGAGGTGAAACCTCTTCTTGCTGAATCTCTGGTATAGTGAACAGATTTATCTGATTGATAAATGCATTCATAATGGAAAAAAAATGCTACTGGAAGCAGTCATTCTAGTATCAGAGTTTATTTTTACATTTTTCTTGTTACAAAGCTCACAGGCCACTTATGGCCCTGGCTGCCAGGCCAGGAGAAGGCTGTGACCTCGACCAGAAGTGAAAAACTCAAGAAATCCCATAGAAGATCCAGCCAATGGTTGGTTATTCTGAGCCTCTACTCCTGCCAGCTGCACCAAGAAACTTTTGTTTTGCAATTTGCTTGTTTGTGGAGAGTTTTTAATGAAGATGGTGGAACTCCATGTGGTTCTGGATTATTTCTCAGGAAATGGTTAGGTTTCTGCAGTGCTTGAGTGGATAGTCTGAGTTATAGCTGATTGCACAACATCTRTATGCTTTATCAATTTACTGCTTAGTGAGTTATACATTCACAGATTAGTGTAGAATTAATCAAGTAGTAAAGCTGACTTATAACAACAGATGTTAACRCTGATTTCTTAACAAGCTCCAAAAATTATTATCAGTGATGAACTAAATTAAGCCATTTATAAAAGATAAAAAAATGCATTTCAGCTGTTAACAGCTTGTGTCTGAGTTTTTGTCTTGGATCAAGARGAAGAGGGTAACTCATGGCTCAACCACTATTACACACAGGTTGTTATTGAAAAACACCTTCCCATCTCTGTTTTCACTGCATCCAGGCTTTCTTAACTCTTCCATGAGCTGATGTTTTAATTCAGGAGGAGCAGTTTTGGCAAAGTCAAGTGTTTCTGTCAGGAAATCCAGCAARAGCTCCCCATTTTTGTCCCCTTCAACAAAGCAGCTCGTTATGTCCATGTGGGATGGGAGCTCGTAGAGCTGGTACTTCAACCCAGCTGAATCCAGCATCCTTGACAAATCAGCAGAGGAAACGAAAGAGCAAAGRTCTTCTAAAGGGAACAAAGACCCATACTTCTTCCACAGCGTTTCCCAGCCACTGTTTCCTATGAGATAAACCACCAGAAAAAACACTCAGAGACAAGGAAAAATAATATTTGAAAGTATTTTTGATTGTCTGGGGTTTTTAGCAGTTGTCATCATTGCAAGTGGGATCTTTCCAGAGCTGGGACATGGTGGGGTTGGCTSTCTCCCTGATTCTGTTCCTCAGGTTTGGGGGCTGCAGGAGTAGGTGGACACCTACCCTGGAGYTCCAGCACCTCTCCTTGAGCCTCCAGCAGCTACTTGTGTACCCTTTCTCGTGAGATTTTATAAAGCAAACCATCTGGGTGAGTTGAAAACTCCCCACATGCATCTTCACATCTTTATTTTCCCTCAGCCTGGATCTCTGATTCAGTATTTCTGCTGTAAATCATTTTTAAAGGGATTATTCAGAATGACTGGACAGGATGAAAATAACTTTGAGCCCAACGAGCAGCTCTTGAAAGTTACAGCAATTATTCTCCCTCGGTACTAAAACCAGTTGCTCGTGGTTTTGCAGTCGCTTTATATGCAAACAGTTATTTATACYCAAATAAACAGTTTGGTGTTTAGAAGAGAGGCTCCAATATTTCCTTTCACCTGGTGGAAATTGAATGCAGAGCGCTAATTGCAGGAAATCTGCCGGTGTCAGTGTTGTGTGACTCGGTGCCATCTCYGAGCTGAGCAATTACGCCCCACCTGAACGCAGCATTACCGGAATGGCTCTCGGAAGGCTCAGCATATGGCACTGCTTTTGTTTGYAAAGCTCTGTAAACACACTGACAGYCCCTGCAAACCCTGCAGRGTCGGGGTTAGGAGGGATTGCAACCCCACCGAGTGACCCCAGCCCTCTGCTACCCACCCTGCTCCCGGGATGGCGTTTAATTAACACAATTTTGTGTTGGAGATGACATTACCTTTTCTGAAATGAGCCTTGTTCTGGCGGTATTTCAGCACCTCCTTTTGCCTCAGTGCTCGTTTTCATGGCACTTCTTCCTTTCCCTCTCTTGTTTCCCCCATGGTTTTTGCCTTCCTTTCCTCTCTGCTCCTCTCTCCCACTTTTTTGTTGCCCCCAGCAATTTCTGCTCAGTCAGAAAATACAGAGTCATCTAGCCCAGAGAGGACTTCAAATACCTTTCATGAACTCAGAACCTTAATCATTTTAATTTTGGATAGACGTGTCTTCCTTCCTGTATTCACATTTTGTGAATATCCAAAGGGACAAGCTAAGCAACTGGRAAAGAGTTTCAATTAACTATATGCAGGTAATCAGCAATAGTCTGMTATTATGGTCTATTCTTGTTCAGCCAAAGAACAAGAACAGGAGTTTTTAAAATCATTTAAAATACAGATTTCTGGATGTGAACTGCTTGAAAACGCGTTAAACCAAAAATATTTTGGAGAAAGGTAGTTTGAATAAATTCAGGTCAGAAGTGTCACTTCGTAGTGGACTGTTCATGAACAAAATTAAAGGAACTTCATCTGTTTTGCAATTTCAGTCAGAAATGAAGCTTAAACCTCTGAACAAATAATGCTTAACATCCTTTCAGAATTGTCAGATGTGATTGTTTACAGAACTAAAATTTCCATGGCTTTTGAGGCAAATTAAAGACTTTCTAGAGTGAAATTAGACCCCACCATTGCCTATCTCTGGCATACCTTGCCCAAAGCACTAAAAGGTCATCRTTTACTCTGCTCCAGCATTTTCCTGCTGGATTGACCACAGAGCATCTCWGTGAGATCTGAAACAGCCTAAGAACGCTGCTTTGTACCCAAAATGATGATATTAAKGAAATGGGCAGTTTGAGAAGAAAATGAACCATATGTGCTCCAACACCTGCTGCATGGCACAGCCGAGCCCCGCCGTAGCCGTTTGCTTAATGCCCCAAGTCTGTGGGAGAGGGATGATGCAGTGCCCAGCCTGGAAAGCCTTTTAGAGCAAACAGCACAGGCTGAAGGGCTCCTGTGAGTGAGAGCTGCGGGATGGAGCCTGTCCTGCTGCTGCCATCCATCACTGGGCAGGCTGCAGGACGGGGAAGGGCGAGAGAAAAATGATACGGGGTTTGCTGGCTGATAAAACCTCGGTCTTTACACCCACGCAGACACATGTGCAGGGTTCAGGGGTGTCTGTTCACCTCCACAGCCTGTGGCTAAACTCACAGAAACCCCCCCAAGGTCCTCATGGCCCTGTCCTGACCGAGCTGTGCTGGTGGAGCAGCTCTCACCTGACACCAGGATAATGAGGAGCTTCCCCTGCGATTCCAGGAGGCTGTGGAAATAGCGGAGAGTTGCTGGGATATCTTTCACATAATACAGCATCTGGAAAAAGCAGAGATGCTTAGAGATGTGCACTGTAATCCTGGTGACTTAAAAAAAAAACCCAAATGGGGGGCAATCCTGGCAGAAAAGCAGGGACAATGAGGCACATTAGGAAGGTGCTGGCAGTGCCTCACACTGCAGGCTCAGGGCTGTCATGCTCTGCCTGCTCTCTGGCACTCCCAGCACCCAGCTCATGTTCATTCATTAACCTGAGATAAAGAGATTTGCCTTTCTTCACAGTGGAGATGACTCCAGTCATGGCTTCAGTGAACTTGGAAACACAAAGGCAATTTCATGGAGAGGACAAGGAGCTTTTGAAGGCAGTAGCTAAAATGTATTCTTAGTTGACTGCCACCCACAGCCTGGTTAATAGGACTACTGTGCTCAAAGCTGCTTTTCATTTTTGCAGTTCACTTATGCTAAAGCTCCTCAAATTGCTGGGAAATAAACTCACCTTTCTTCCCCCACGAGTGGATAATGAGGTCACATACTTCATGCACACCTTTAACAGCCRAGACTCTGACAACATTTGCTTTGCAGAGACTCTCACCTGGATCATGTGAATGAAGTCCCATTTTTTAGTCTTCTTTTCTGCATTCATTCGACTTTCATATTCATGAGCTGTCTCCTGGTGCCAGGTAAATTTAATGTTCTCGAGGTTTGATGCCTGAGCCACACGCTCTGAAATGGAGGAGAAGGCAGGACAGAGTTATCTCAATTGCAAATATGGGATTGATTGCCACTCAGAGCTTTCAATACATCCAAAAGCCATATTCAGGTAGAGAGTTTTGGTACCAGTTTAAGACAACAGTGTTAAACCTTGAGCCCATGTGTGAGGAGGAGGCTGTAAAGGGCTTTGTAAGACAAAATCTTAAGAGGGTCTAGTCTTTACCTGATTAAAAAAAAAATTAAAAAAAATTAAAAATAAAAAAGGTAAATTCTTCCCCATGACTGGCTCAAGCTGAATAAAAATGTTGGCTGGGATGAAAAGTTATGAGRCCATGAGCAGCACATTTCATGTCAAGAGGAGAGCTCATGACCCCATTGCTTTGGTGCCACACAAAACCCATGTGGCTGAACAGAAGCTGGGCCACAGTGGAGAGCTTTCCCCAGATAAAAACAGGTGCTTGAGGATGGATCAAAGCAGGGGTTTGTTGTGAAGAGAAGCACAATTAAAAGGTTGAGAAGGGCAGAGAAAGAAMATGCCTTCTCCTAAATTTGTGTAACTGAGATGGTGGGACAGGGAAGGAGCTTTGTTCCACAAGGACCCATCTCTCATTCAGCTGCTTCTGCACTGAAACAATTTTTCAGAATCCTGGAGTTCTGAGCAATTGCTTCGGGCAAAAGGGATGGCAGTGTTTCAGAGCAAAGAGCAGTACAAGGAGTGACACATGGCCTGTTTTCAGACCTCCATACAACGCTGGAGAAGTGGATTCAGAGCATAAATTACGCTGAGAGCCTGGCTCATCGCTGCATTTCTTTGTTTTTTATGGGAGCAAAGCTGAGAGCTGATTTCCTAATGCAGGGGATGCTGGGATGCTCAGGTCCATCTGCTGGCATAYGGAGCTCATCTCTCTGCTGCCTGGAGCTCGGGATTGCTCCAGGACAAAGCAGGCCCTGAGTCATTCCTGTGCTTCGCTGGAGTTAGCATCAATTTAAATCTTCCATGGCCCAAAGGCAGGCTGAGCCTTAGCTASAGAACAAAACACGATTTGCTAAAACCAGTGCCTTTACACATCTAACTACAATGCTTCTCCTTTTGGGCTCCGGTTAGGACAGATGAGAAATGCTCCATCAGTGTTTATCTCTTCTCCTCTGTGGCTGGAAATGGGTCACCCCTTTCAGATGCTGCCACTGTTACTCTGTTGGCTTCCATTTATCAGTCCCTGGCCTCAGGTTTAATTTGCTGTTGTAAACTCAGGGTGATTCAGCAGCAGCTCCCACCCCATCACAAATAATCTGGGGCAATCTGGCTCGGTTCAGTTGTTGATCTGTCTGCAAGGAGGAGCTGAGAAGAAAATGGAATTGTTTTCAGGGCTGGGCCTTCAGAGCCAAAACTCTAGGAAAGTGCAAGCTCTTAATGGGATTATGGAAAATTTCTGCTCAAAAATTCATCCATTCAAAATAGCCATTTTGGAAATTTTGCCAACTTTTTCTTCTGGGCTCAGCCCAGTTTTCCTGGTCAGAAGCTGTTCATGTACCTGATGGGTGCCATCAAAGCTGGGCTGCCTGAGGGTGATGGGGATGCAGCTCAGTTTTGGGGCCACCAACACTCCAACTGTGGCCACCAAGGGATTCCAGGAATGAAGGAAAGCCACAGCCTGTACACCAGGCTTTGAGGAAAGCCTCCATCACGTRCCACAGCCCAGGAGAAACCTGAGTTTGTCATCACTGCACATCCCAGTAGGAATTTTCTCTCATGAGCTTGGCTTCTCCTTCCCAAGGAGAAAGCATTTGGTGAGGCAGAAAACATAACTACTGAATTCTCAGAGGTGGGGATAATGTTTCTCATTCTCCACGGAAAATCCTAGGCCCCAGAAACCTAATTAATGGTAGCTACTGGGGACATGATTAATTACCAAATAAGAGAGTTTAAAGAAAGAAATTCAGATGAATATTTCATTTCTAGTTTAGCATAAAACTTAAAATAAGGACAACATTTTATATTTTAACTCTCTTCTGGAAAGAAACTCACTGCAGTAGGATAGGACTGCCAGGTAAYTGGTAATTGGTGGTGGAAGCACTGGGAAGGTTCAGAGCAAACCCAGTCCTGYGTAGCCCAGACAGGACAGAAATGCTTTGTGCAAGTGCACAAACTGTCTTATAAACAGAGAAGTTGTGTTGTTCATCCTGCACCATTTCAGCCTGCAGCAATGTCAAACTMTGGGGATTTTGCAGGAGCTATTCTTTTAAAAGATCAGGATCAGGTCCATGTAATACAGGGAAAGATATTAAAAAATTGCTTTTTTCCTGGGAGTCTCTGATGCTTCTGGTGATTCTGAGCTACCTCACTGCAGGGAGAAGGGGATTGTTGAGTTTTTTTCCTTTGACTTCCAGAAGCTAATTCACACTGGGAGCGCTTCATTTTTAGGGACCTAAGAAAGAGCAAGAGCTGGAGATTTACAGTGTGGTTTTAGAGCTGGTATTCACCACAGTTTGGAGCATTTCCAACAAGAGTCAGCTGGTGAGGTTCATTCAYTGCTGTCACATCCATCCAGGGGCTGCTCTCTGTCCGGAGTGCTCTGCTCAGGGCTGGAATCACCTCCACACAGCCCCAGCACCCTGTGACYCCTGCCAGGTGCTAATCCAGCGAAAATCAAACCGTGCATTGCTATTTGATGCTCACTTTGTAGGGCAACCTGATCAAAGCACCCTCCTTAACACTCCTTGGAAAATGCTTCCCTTTCCTTCATGAATGCTGCTTGCACCTTTGGGCTGGGGGAAGGAACAAAATTCTGAGCCCCAGAGCACAAGCAAAAGCCTGTCCTATCCCCCCTGCTTTCCTTTCCATGTTTTCTAATTCAAAGCCTGGTAACTAATTTAGTGCCCCACTGTGAGGTTTAGTTATTTGCTGGAAACGGTTTTTAAGATGTGAGAGAATTACCATGAGACACAAAATTTTCCCTTTGATGCTGAGGAAGGATCCTGATTCAAGGCAAGTTGAAGTAGACARACTTTCTGAAATGCAGGAATTTCAYTCCATTCCCATACAATCACCYATCWCTTCCCACCTTATTTAGCTTTTAAGATCTGTCTAATCAAGCATTTGCCATTCAGAGTTCTTAGCAGTGGAGAAACTAAGATTTTAACAAKAGTGAACATTGTTGAGAAGTAAGGATGGCAAAAAAACATCAAACAGTGAATGTTTTAATTTCTAAGTGACAGCTCTGACAAGAAGGCCTTTAAACATGGACTCATCCACCTTTCAACACTTTTACAATGCATGTAAAATAATTAATGTAAATTTAATTTATTCAATGAAAAAATACCTTTGTACTTGGAGATTTGGTCAGCACTTGGCTCGACCACATCGTTGTTGATGGTGACCCCGGGATATCTGGYTCGTATTTTTGAGAGGATCTGCAAGTCCATCTCACCTAAGGAAGCAGGAAACACAGGATGRAAACAAAGCTCAGGCAAAGGGGATCTCCACCACCATCACATCCCCAGTTTTGCAGGCTGATTGCTGCTGTTTAGTACAGATGCACCTGTGCTTTGTATTTTCAGTCGATTGTCGCTGAAGACTGAGAAAATTGAGAAAAATTTAAATATCACTCCCAAGTGTCTTCATTTCTCTTCTCTGACTGGCACTATCAGGGCCAAGGGAAGAGCAGGCAGACCATGCCTGTGGCTTGACCTCACATTTCCCAGACACAGTTTAACCTCAAGGGGAAGATCCTACAAGATTCTGTCTGTGCCAGTTCTGATGGTTCCAAGTCACCAGCACACTTGGCAAGGTTTCTTAGGAGTCAGTTGGAGCATTTTTAGCCAAGCACCTCACTGGTTACAAGCTCATGYGGGGGAGGGCAAAGGGAATATGTGTTTACCCTGGAATTAGAGAAAATATTCATATCTGTTTGTCTTCAGAGTCCTGGGACTTCTACCAAAAGAACAACGAATAGAGCACATTCCATTTGTGTTTATCTAACCCTTGTTTATGGAATACCCCAGAGATGACTGTATTTTATGCTTTTGATGAAGGAGAGTTCTCTCTAAACGCTGCTCAGGCCAGCTGTAATTATTTTATTGATGGATGTACCGGTAGAGCCAACACTTCAAAATTTAAAAATAGCCACTATAATCCTTGGCCATCTCACCCCATCTGCAGTGTAGGAAACTCAGGGGGATGGTAATTCTGGCTGAGGCACAGGTCCAGGGACAACACCCCGCTGGCTTGCTCAGCTTTCTCCAACCTCACTTCTGCTTATTGTGCTTGGATTGATTTTGGGTGGRAAAAATAACAGAATAAATTAGAAAGAATTAAACAGAGGATGACTACAGTGAACGATAAAGCCAGGGCTTTTCTTACAAGCAAATATAGAGCTTTGTCCTGGAAGGTGTACTTGTGCTTGCACAAAACTCCACATTATAAAATTCCCTACAAATGAACAAAGTTTTGTACCGAATTGAAGGCCACCCAGCAGAGTTATAGGATGGAAKAGCACCCAGSARKCCCTGATGGMMRGACRGGGACTGTRGAGGGAGAACCTGCACAGCCTCTGYCCACCCTCATCRTTTTCAGTRCCCCTGGACTCCCAYRCTTCAGCATTWCCTCCRTTGTGCAGAATRTTTGAGGWGCAAAAGGAAAACATTGGGCATTAAACTGYTCATTAGTGCCCAGAGTATGCAATATACAATGTGAAGAAGAGTTGTATTTTTTTTGTCTTTCTTAAAGCCACCAGCAGCACCAGCATTCACTTGGTATCTCTGGAAGCACTTTCTTTGGTGGAGGGAGATTGAATTTCCAAAGCAGCAGAAATAGCTGCATCTTTGCTATCGCTGCAAGATCTGGATTCTGTTGAAAAATCAGAGCAAAGCCAGTTGTTCRCAGGCTGCCATGGTAAAATTTGTGAACACAGAATTTGTAATGAGCTACTGCAACAGTTTGGTTTTTGGTTGCTTTACCAACTTTCTGTAAAATTATTTAGCCCTTCAAAAAGGCTGCAATTAAAAAATAAATCGAATTTTGTATTTCCATATGCAGATAGGTTAATATATTCCTTTCCACTCTTGTGTTGCCAAATCACCCTTATACTGTTTTAACCAAAAAAACCCCTCACCCCTTTGATTCATAATTTAATCCACAGCCTTAACTGACTTCACTTAGCTCTTTTATATGCAAACAAGTGTCCCGAGGCATTTTACACTCGGATCTGTGGCAGCTTGCATTATCAACAATTTGGCAATTAGGCTATCCGAATTATTTAAACTCTCCAACACAATTACCTTTTAAAGGCTACCACTATGTTCGCCATTAAGTTTCTAATTAAACATTTTACGTAACGGGATAGTTTATAGCCCAGTTGCTACTTTATAGCAGCGTTGATGACTTTTATGGTTTTTAAAGGTACAGAGTGCGGCGCGCTGGAGTGTGAAGTTAATAAGGCAGCGGAGTCAGGCGTGTTGGGGTGGGTGTGATGGGATGGGATGCTGCAGTAAATGGGTTCTTGTCTCCCGAGGTGGAAAAGGGGAGAGGGAACGCTTTTTCCTTCCGTGTGGAGTGCAGGGAGGATGGGGCTGGGGCAGCAGCTCCATCACTGCCCTCCCACATCAGCCAGGGTCGGATGGAGAGATTTGGGAATTGGCTCCCTCTGACCTCGCAAGGAGCCGGGTTGGGAACATGGCAGAGCAGATGGGCTTGGGTGATTTGGGGATTTTACATCACAAAGTGAGCTTTGCCTCCACCTTATTGATAGATGGCAAGCTGGACAGTGCCCAGCCAGGGAGTGAAGCACCTCACTAAATAAACTGTTCCTGTTAAAAACATCTTTCCTCCTTTTTACCTTCTTTTTGCAGAAGAATGGTTTCCTTTGGAGAGCAATGTTCCTGCTCCGTCACACAGTCTGTTTTATAACTAATGCCCACCATTTACATACAATTACTGCATGGAGGAGAGACCGACAGAACTGAGGTTAGTCTTTGGTGATGGGATGACTACAGCATTTAAACTAGATTAACTGTTCGTATAAAACTTAAGTGTGCTGACTTAATGGGCRGAGAAGGAAACATAGGTTTTAATTATGGGGGCACTTAAGCAAGAATTTAACRAACAGAAGCCGCTTGATCTTACTGGTATTGGGTTTTTTCACTCAGTGAACTTAAAAGGCTTATTATTTCTGTTTTCTCCTGGATTTTTTCTGGAGCTTGTGCTCATCTCCAGTGTTTTTGGGGGGCGGTAGCTCCAGGAAGAGTTTGTACACTGATGGTGGTCGGGCAAAACACAACTCAGCCATGGCTCTCACATTGCAGTGATAGGAGTCATCACCTCAGTAAATAGTTACAGGGGAGAAGAGTTACAATGCAGGTATAAATGCAATATTCTGAGGATTCTAAGACGTTATGGCATGGTTTTTGTGTGCATAGAAAGCCTAAGGAGAAGTTCAAGCTTCTCTCTGCCTTTGAGGAGTGATGGTGTAGAAGAAGGTTTTTTTTGTGGAGGTTACAGAAGAGCCAGAGTGGGGAGGCACAAGTTGTTTTCAAATGATGTGGTCACACACCAACACCACCAGGCCCCTGGAGCCAACTCTTCTTTCACACTCTGCTCCTTTCGCAACTTTTAATCCTCTATTCTTTAAAAAAGAAGGTAAAAACATACCAATATTGAAATCCATACATACCWGCTCCACCACCAACGCTTAGAACATTGATTGTAGACTTCCCATTTCCAATACTGAAAAACATCATTMATGCATTTTAGAAGAGCTGCCCAGTAGAGAGGGTTCCATGCTTGATGTGAWGCACTGGAGATCCCATTAAGACTTCAATTTGCAGAACAAAACGCAAATGCAATGACTGTGTGGGCTGGAGGGATCAGATTCAGAACTCTGCCCTTTGGATATTCCCAATTTTGAGTTATTTTGGCAATTTGTAGAGGTGGCATTTTGTTATGAGTGCATACAAGCAGAAGCAGGGGCACACTTTCTCTGTGTCTGTGCTCAGAGGAACATCCCTGGGTCTGGACCAGCACCTTAAAAATTATCTGTAGAACTTTTACATTATGCAAAATAGGGAGGGAGAGAGGAGAGTGTAATGCTCTTAAAATCCCTGAGTGAGGGTTTGGCAGGGCCATGAAGCCCKGAGCACTCAGAAGAGCCTCCCCAGAGCCAGGATTTGATGCTGGCTGCGTGCTGTGAGGGGTCCAACAAAGGACACACACCAGCAGGCAGAGCAGGAGCATTATCCAGCCATCCTAGAGAAACCCTAATATTATACCTGGAAAGATTACTTTGAAAAAGCTGCTTTCAGTCAAGTTTGATGCTAGAATGTAGTATCTGTTACTGCATTTCAGAGCTGATCCAGGGCAGGCTGTGCTGTRTGCAGGGAAACAATGCAGCCTTATCTCCTCCTGGCCGGGCAGGAGTGCAGCCAAACCCTATCAGGAACCGACAGACAGGGCAGGGAGCAGCAATCTGCCTCTCACAGGCACCCYCTGAGCCCAGCAGCCTCTGTCCTTCAGCCAGCCCATGGTTCTCACTCAGTTACCTCGCTATCACAGCCGGCAGCTGCCTCTCCACGAACTCCTGCATGCTCTGGTGCTCCGTCGAACGCTCCAGGAAGAGGCGGAAAGACTGGAGATATCTGTCAGGATCGCTGAGCAAACYCCTCATGGGTGATGCCATGGTGTTGGGAAGGTGCAGCAGGACACGTGTTGCTCCCTGCAGCTCTCCTCTCAGGCCTGGAGAGGGAATGGGAAGTTTCTGGAGGGGGAAATCCAGCATGCACACCCGGACTTTGCTCCACGTCCCCGGCCCTGCTGCTGCCTTGGAGTGTTGCACAATCTTGCAAAAGAAGCTATAAATAGGGTCCAGGCAGCAAAGGGTAATATATCATCTTTAATCTGTGCAGAGCAAGTGCCAGCATTTTTTAACTGTGCTGACACAGGGCTCTGTTAAAACACAGTAAAAGGGTCTTTAGATGGTTCTTAAATAAAAGAAAAATTCCTCTGTTTTGTGAAGGCATGGAGAGGCTCCAAAGGCTGGGTCTGGATTAGAAGAAAGTGCAACACTCATCTCCAGAGACGCTGGCAGATGTCTCTATCTGTTTTTTTAATCTTTTGATGTTCTTAAAGGGAATGGTGATGGTGGGTGAAAACAATAAAAAACTTATAAATGCACTTCATTTCGCTCTTTCTTCTGAAGATAATGGTACAATTCCCATGGGTTAAGTGGTTAATTCACCAGAGCCACGTGAGTTGCTGGAATAGGGGTTGTGCTAAACCAGGCTTACAGGAAATCAGGAGCAGGGAAGGCAAAGAGTGTTTTTTGTAGGCAGGGAAGTGTCAGACTGCACCTTAAAAAGTGCACAAAGGTGTCTTTATCCTCCTTAAACTGCAGTTAAAGTTCATCACATCTTGTCCTAACTGGCAAGGGGAAAGAGGAACCCTCTCCCTCCTCATGGGCCCCATGTTTAAGGACACACCACATTTCCTCAGTGTTTCTTACCATCCCCTCTGGCTTTTCTGCAGAAAAATCCACATCCCAGCCCCTCCTCATTATCCTCACAGTTCCCTTTGGACTGTCTCCAGCCAAACCCCATTGATGCTGAAGTGCAGCAGCCAAGGGCAAAACCCTCCCACCCACAGAATTCCCTGGCAGGATGGTTTCCATGGCCCCACTGAGACCCTGCACCTGCTGCCTTCACTCACCAGCATGACCACTGGAATACAAACCACAGGCTTTTTCCAGACTCCTCTTGTCCCTTTGAGTTTTATTTCTGGCCTCTGTTGTGCTCAAGTCCCTCCCAGCTGCACCCCAAATAACAGAGTCTTGTCCCTTCTCCACACCATAAAGAGAAATGCAAGTAACAGTCTCAGGTTCATATTTGCCATTACCTCCCTTYCTGGCAGTGAACTTCTGACAAATTTTCTACCTGTGCAACCAGTTTTCCACTCACCCAATATCTGTCTCATCAAGGCCACATCTTCCTCACTTAATGTCATACACAGTGCCAACTCCTTCTGCCTTGTACACCAGCACAAAGATGGGTTTGGAACAATTTCCCCCTCACATTTCCACACAGCCTGACCATCACCTTATCCTCTCTCCTTGCAGGAYTGTTTGTTTCTAGGGACAGCCATCRTGCTGAGCAGCTGCAGTTCCACTGCTCCCTCTCCAATGACAACATCAGCTCTTGGCTTTGCCCATTCTCCTTCACTGCCTGTGACAAACACCCAACTCRTGACATGTTTTGGTTTTGCCCATGGGCCACATCTCCACACATCCCAAAGGTTCCTGGAAGGAAGGAGAGTGGTGAAGGTTGGTGACAATGCTCCTCCTCCAGYGTGTGCTGCTACCAGAGCCATTAGCAATGGCTGAGAATTCATAATCAATTAGCAACGCCTGATAATTGCTCTCCTTGGGGCAGCCCCAAAGACCGTGGTGACCTCTGGAGCAGATCCCAAGGTTGATTTTCCACCCATGCTGCCTCCAAGGCAGACTGGCTTTGGCACAGTCCCYGCTCCCCACCTTCTCACACAGCAAGGATGTTTGAAAGTAAAAAAAAACCAGCAAAACTGAGCATTTTAAAGAGTACTAATGAAAAACAAGCTGATACAACACTGGTAACAAGTAGATGGGAGAGCTTTTAGAAACTTTGTCAGTCTCTGGCTGACAACCTTTCTTGACCCAGATGAACTCACTCAAAGCCCCAACATCTGAATTAACCTGGGGAATCCAAGCATGAATTTTTCCAGAGAGTAAGGAACAAAATTCCTGGATGTTCCTCGGATGAGAATTACTCACTGCTGACCCACCCTGAAAAYACAGTGGTGTATTCTTTGTTGACCCATTCCTTTGCTATGCCTGATTCCTCCTTTTTCTTTTTAAGTGCCTAAAGAGGCTTTGCTGTCTGCCACTAATAGATTTTTACTACCTTCAATCTTGAAAAAATGTTTTGCAGTTTATAAGGGGAGATTTAGGTAATCGACCCTTTCTTCTATGCCTCCCCCTACTTCCCATGAATTAATTTGCCAACATCCCCTGCTCAGCAGTCTCTAATGAGCAGCCAGGATTCATTGTCATGTTAGGAGCAGTTCAAGACATTTGTCTCATTTCTTTCATTACACTTTTGGCTGTTGGAATTTGCCACATTTATTTCATTCTGTGAGGGTTTTTTTCTCTTTGAATTGCGGCCAATTAACTTTAAAAAGGAGAAAAGAGAAGGAAGGAAAGGATTTTTTTTCTGAATTAGACTGATAAAAAACTTTGGGTAATAATGTCCCTTCAGTGATAATCMAAATTTAAGCGTGGCTCCCTAAAAAGATTGAGGAGTTTAGAAAGCGGACGCCGTGTTWGTGCTGCTGTGTTTGATCCGCCCCTGCTTTGCGCCGGCGCGATCAGAGTGAAACCTGCTTTAACCTCACCACAAAACCCTTTAAACCCTCCCCGTGAAGCCAGAAAACAAAGTGAGAAAACTGCCTGCAGCGGGAGTTTGGGTTTATTCGCACAGGATGAGTGTGCCGCCGAGCGCCGGGAAAAGCGGGATCCCTCCGGGAAAAAATGCGCTCCATGGGCAGCGGCTCCACAAGATCCGTACTTACGGTGCTCTGTGCTCTCAGGGATGTGGCAGTGATGCTGCTGAGCTCCTGGGATGTGCTGCCGGTCGTCACCTTCCAGTTCAGCCACTTTATTTGGCCACTTTGTCATTTATCCCCTYCCCACCCACCGCGCTCCCGTATTGCTGTCCCACCCCCGGGGCCGCGTCACGGGGAGGTTTTGCTGCCTGAGGATGGAGCAGGGACAGGCAAAACCTCGAGTGGCAGCAGAGGGGCAGCTCCAGCCCTGCCACATCCCTTCAGCCACATCACAGCCCCTGGCGATCCCTGCATGATCCTCACCGCTGTCCCCCGGGACACACCGGTACCCTGGGGCCATCCAGACACTGAGCTCCATCCCTGTGTTAATTAGAGTACGGATGATAAATGAAACCCTGCCGATGGTTTATGGAATTTGTGGCTCTTGACAAATTGGAAATAGTCGTCTCGGTGTGTGGCGTGTGGCGATGGGCAGCATCATTTCCAGTTTGCCTATGGAACCCTTCCATTATAGATTACTTTGCTTTTTTTTAGCTGGCTTTCTTGCCAGCAGTTATTCTTCTTATCCCTTACTTTCCAGAGGTTAAGCAATGGGGAACATTTTCCAAGTTGTGTGCACCCTCTGCAGCCCTGTCAGGAGCAGTTTCATCCTAAGGAATATAAGTATGGAGAAAACCACTGACCCATGTCTGCCATCACACTGTGATTTGGTGTTCAGGGCTCTAATAAAATATRTGCCCTATGTGTGCCTCAAATTATTCTTTTTTTTCTCCATGTTTAGCAAGAAGGAATTTTTTTTAAGTCAAATGAAGTTTTCTTTCTGGACTTAGATAGAGAAATGAGCTGTTCAAGGAGAAATGAGCTGTTCACATGGCAGAAGTCATATGAAATAACACCAGTAATATTAMTAACGATGCTTTCAAAGGCACAGTTACAGGGAGAATGGCTGCAGTTTGACATTTAGCTGAGAGTTTACTCAAATGAAGATTTCATATCAACAGTTAAAATCGTTCAGCCAGAACGATGACTGCTTGTGAAGGCAACACCCACTGCACTTTTTCTGTCCCTGTTCACAGCACCATTTCCTAACCAGTTTGAGGGAATGAGATAAAAAGCCCTTTACCAAGGATCTCACCAGGACCAGCAATGCCATTGTGTTTAGAACCTGCCATAATCAGTGATTCTGTGATGCCAAAGCAGGAGGAATGAGACCAGCAACTCTTTTACCCTTTCTTATCAACAATCATGACTTCCCTGCCCATGACAGGTGGCTTAGATCTAAGTGATCCTTCAGATCYTTTCCAACMCAAACCAYTGTGTGGTTCTGTTTCTATGACTTTATTTTAAAAGGGTGTTTTAAGGAAAATGAAGCCCTAAGTACCCTGTCAGCTACAAATCAAGCCAGCTTCTACTGGCCTGCAGTGCCCCAGCAAATGTCCCTTCTGGCTCCCCTCTGTCTTGGTGATAAGCTCTGCTGTTCAAACATAGCTGAACAGCAACATCAGTGGTGTTTGGTTTTCTGTGCAGCTCTAGAAATCTGTATTAATTGGTATCACCAAAGCTGTGCAAGCTGGTCTATAGAAAATAAACTCGGTGCATCTGGCCCACACTTTTCTCCCTCTGCAGAGGATTAAATGTGAATTTTCCAAGTGCCAGTTGCTGTTTAATATGAAAGCCTAAGTTTAGGGGGCCAAAAATAAAGATTATATGCATCTGGTGCTTTTAAGTGCTTTATGAAAATAAAAGATGYTGCTGTTAATTTGCTTTTTAATTTCCCCTGGGGACACATTGTGTGAGCTTTAAGTGAAATCCCAGCCATTTCAGYGTGATGTGTGCTCAGGGCTGCCCTGGTGCAGGGAATTGGGGAGGTGGGGATGCTGCAGCACTGCCCAGAGCTGTGCCCAGGGCAGGGCTGTGCTGAGCCAGGGGCTGTGAACCAGCACAGAAGGACAAGGGCCACRATRGAGGCCACCACCATTCYGCAAAGGGACACYCTGCAGAGAAAYTGGCCACACACAGACCTGGCAGATYAATGGGTTTGTTCATTGAGGTGGTTTAACCTTAATGAACAAACAGTATTTAACATCATAGAACCATCACAGAATCAT